GGAATAGCCCCTCCTAGCAAGCAACATGTCCAAAGTATGTGAGGTGAAGCTTCATTATTCTTGCTTCCAAAGAGCACTCAACCTCCACCAGCTCCAAGACATATCCGTTCTCTTGGCCATCCACGGGATGTTTAGTGCTCTTCTCCAATACCACAGCTCAAAGGCTTCAATTCTTTTTCTGCCATCCTTATTTATTGTCCAGGTCTCAGATGCATAGCTAATCAGACTATGGCCTGAGATCCATGTTTATTTCTATCCCCCAAAAAAGATCTGACAGAGTGTGGAAATTATCAAACAATATCATTAATATCATAGGATCGCTATGAGTTGTCTACAACTTGACAACACCTAACAACAATAACAGTGACAACATAGAGCTACATTGGCCTAGTGGACAGAAAGTTATGCTACCAAACCCAAGATGGGTGATTTTAATCTGCAGCCAACAGGCCTAGTTTTAATTGGGGTGTTTTTTTTTGTCACACATTCTTCTAGGTGGTATAGCACTGGTCTCTGCATTGCTGTACAGAGGTAACTCGTGGTTGCTGTGATGCTAAACACTTTGACACTGATGTGCCAAATGTGATAATGGTTACTTTACCCAAGGTGTTTGGTGGAGCTTCCCAATTAAAACAAGCTTGAAAGCAGGAGTGGTATCCACCTCTGAAATGGCTTGCCTCCGGAAACTCTATGAATAGTGCTCAGGTCTTTGGTTCATAGGGTTGCTGTGAGTCATCGACTCGATGGCACCTAACAACAGCAACATCATTAATATCACACACAAGCAAAATCCTACTGAAGATTATAAAAAAAATGACTGGAACAGTACATTATCCGAGAATTACCAGAAATACAAGCTGGGTTTAGAAGAGGCTGTGCCACTAGAGATATTATCGCCAATGTCAGATGTTTCTTGGCTGAAAGCAAAGAGTACCAGATTAATATCTATTTGTGCCTCACTGACTATGCAAAGGCCTTTGACTGTGTAGATCACAGTAAATTGTGGCTGACTTTGAGAAGAATGGGAATCCTAGAACACTTGATTGTGCTCAAGCAAAACCTATACTTGGACCAGGAGGCAGTCATCAGAACAGAGCAAGGAAGCACTGCATGGTTCAAAACGAGGAAAGATGTACGCCAGGGATGTGTCCTAGCTCCATGCCTTTTCAATCTATATGTAGAACAGATCATCGAGGAGACTAGGCTCTATGAAGAGGAATGTGGCATCAGTGTTGGAGGAAGACTCATCAACAACCTGTGTTATGCAGATGATACAACCTTGCTTGCCAAAACTGAGAAGGATGTGCAGCATTTGCTGTAGGTCAAGGACTGTAGTCTTCAATATGGATTGAAACTTAACATTAAGAAGACAAACTGGAAAAAAAAAAGACAAACTGGGTCAAGTGACAACACCATGATGGATGGAGAAGAGATAGATTGTTAACAATTTCAGCTTGCTTGGCTCCATAATCAACACTCTTGGCACCAGAAATCAGGAATCAAAAGATGAATTGCACTGGGAAAATCTGCTGTCAGGAATCTCTCCAGAGTACTGAAAAGCAATGATGTCAGTCTAGAGACTAAGGTGCACCTGATCCAGGCCATGAGCTTTGCAATTACTTGGTATGTGTCGGAGAGCTGGACAATGACTAAAGATGGAAGAATTGATGCCTTTGATTTGTGGTGCAGGAGAAGAGTATTGAACATACAATTGACACCAGGAGAAAAAAAAAAAGGTCTGTCTTGGAAAGGATGAAACAAAGTTGCTTCTTGGAGGCAAGAATGTTGAATCTCTGTCTTACATATTTTGGGCATGTGGCCAGGAGGGACCAGTCTTTGGAAAGGACATCATACTTGGAAGTGTAGAAGGACAGTGCAGGAGAGGAAGACCCCAGATGAGATGGATTGACACGGTAACTGGGGCAATGGGTTAGTTGTGTAGGAGTCAGTGAGACTGGCTCAGGACAGGGCAGGCTTCAGAGATATTGTACATCAGGTCATATTGCACATAAGTCTCAGGTAACTTGATGGCATGTAACAACAATGACAACAGTTTTTCTGTTCTTCATGCTGTGTGTTTGACTCTGACCTTCCTTCTACTAGTTCTTTCATTTGTGTCTAATGAATGATTAAACTGTTCTTTGAATTTCTAACTTTAGTTTTTGAGATTTTCTCACTTGTTCTTGTTTATTGCTCCTGTCATGAGACCAAACACACTCTCTCTCTCCCTCCCTCCCTCCCTCCTTTTCTATCTCATATCTTTTAAACTGTCAGCCTACTCAGCTTAGTCTAGTTATTTCTGATAACTTCATTATATGGATTCCCGTGCCCCTTTCTGTTGTCTTTTGTTTTTCTTCCTTTCCCATCACACTGTCTTGTTCTTTTGGTTATTTATTGGGTTTTTTTTTGAGTGCTAGGCATTATTTTTTTCAAAACCACATTAAATAATTTATAGCCTTGTAACATGCTGACTTTTGTAGAAATAATTGATTTCTGGCAGATAGCAATGTTCGCTAGCACTTCTGGATCTTCTCAGTTCAATTTTAGAAGTCAAAATGATTGCAAGTTCAGGTTCAATGCCTGTGAAAGCCAGTCTGTTTCTATTAGCTGTTGCTCTGCAGATGCCACTCTTCAGGATTTTGACATAAAGTGTGGGAGTCAGGCCAGCTCCCAAGGACTCTCCTCCTGTGCAGAGAGGCCCCCTGTCCTCATCCTCCAGACTCACTGTGTCAGCATATCTGCTCTGCCAGCCTCCTGTCAAAACAGCCAAGGGCTCATTCTTGGGCATTCCTCATCTTCCGGTCATGGCCTTACAATTCTTGGCCACCTTGTTAGCTTCTAGCACACTCTTTTTTTTTTTAAATTATTTTATTAATTTTAATGAACATTTACAGAGATTTTGGATTTCCATT